CTATATGTATATATATATATATGTATATATATATATATCTGTGTGTGTGTGTGCAAATATATGTATATATATATACATATATATATATATATATAGATATGTGTGTGTGTGTGTGTGTGTGTGTGTATTTGCATTTGTATATGTGTATATATAAATATATATATATCTTTATTTATTTATTTATTTATTTGTTTATTTATTTATTTATATTTTTAGTTATATATACGTGTGCTTGTGTGCTTGTGTGTGTGAGTGTGTGTGTGTATAATATATATGTGATTATTTATTTATTTTTATTGTTTATATATATATATATATATTGTGTGTATGCGTGCATATATACATATATTAGTTTGTATTGATGTAGTTAGGCTTGTTTATGTGCTTATCTATATGTACGTATGTAAATTATATTATATATCCCTTGACGTATAAGTAAGTTTTTGATTCAAAAGCAAGCATATATATATATAAATTGATATATTTATAGGAGGTATATATTCATGTGTGGTATTTTTATTATATTTTTAGCTACATATTCAGATACGCACGTATAGATATATATATAGATATATATATATATGTGTGTGTGTGTGTGTGTACACTTGTGTGTATGGCATATACACACATATATATATATATATATATTACTGAGGTCCAGCGAGTTTAGCTTCTTGGTATAACCACATTTTTAAGATGTGATGGAGAGATTGGCTGACCTCATATAGTATGCATGTGCTTAAAGTGTTCTTGTTGACTGCCTTGTGTATATGCAGAAAGGACGTATTGATCGCTTTACATCTTACTGCTGTCCACAAAACAGCATAATAGACATATCACGGTAGCATGGCTCTTTGTGAGGCTGTCTCCTTGTCACTATATCAACCTGCATACCAATATGCTTCGTGCCTTCTGCACCTATATTCGTTCGTTGAAATTGTATGTGGCATTCCAATCAATGTAATCGTGTATATTGTGGACCAACACCTTTTCCTGTTGACAATCTATTCAGGAATGCGATCGACTACAAACGGCAGTGGCTGCTGACTTGGTCAAACTTCTGGAGAAGCACAGCACTGGAGTGACCGCATCTGTACCAAAGGGTGCTGTAGTAGAGAAGGATCTAAACACGCGTTTGGGTGAACTTGTCAACAAGGCCGATGTCATGCTGTTTATGAAAGGTGCGCAGATAGCTTTGGTAGTGTCATATCTGCCTCGCTTCATCTCACCTATTCCCGGAATGCAACAGCATTGTCCTTTGTATCTGCCGTGTATCATGTTGTCGCGAGCGGTCGATGTCCCTTGCGCATATGATCCGTCACCCCTTGCGCCAGTCCACCAGCCTATGTGTCTCCTTCCTCTCTTTTGTTTTCCTCAGTTCCTCACGTGCCGTGTATTCGGTTGTCTATATTCTTACAAGCGTATACCTATGTTATTCGATTCGGAAGTTCTTGGTCATATCATGCAACACGTACACTTTAGCATATATACCTTTCTGCTAGTTCCGGGTGCGACTATCGTTACAGTGTGTTCAGCGTTAGCTTGTGCGTTTATGGTCGTTGGCATGTTGCATAGGATTCGTGAAAGCATATTCTAGCGCAAACGTTTTATGCCGTACTGATTCTCTTGCACACATGTGTATCGCAGGTGATCGTGCTACACCTCGTTGCGGATTCAGTCGCCAAACAATCGAGATCCTAAATGCAGAAAATGTGGATTACGAGACTTTCGATATTCTTGAGGACAACGACGTTCGACAAGGTATGATCAATACACCAATATCGGTGTGGGAAGTATTGGGTCGTATAACGGGCAATTGTTAATTTTGGGAGCGGATCTAGGAATCTTTTTCGGCTTCATTACGCATATGCAGTTATATAAAGTAACAATATATTGCTGGTGCTACCAGCTGATAAATAGAACCCGCTTTGTTTATATATACAGCATATCGTATCTCCCTCGTGTATTGTGCTGTATTAGAGTTTTTCAGTATGTACTTACATAGAGAATATGCTGTTGTTGCATTCAAACACACGAAACGTATTCTTAACATATACGAACCATCTTTTATACTTATGAATATTAGGGCTGAAGACATACTCTGACTGGGCCACATATCCCCAGCTGTACGTCAAAGGTGAGCTTGTTGGTGGAATAGATATCATCAAAGAGTTAATTGAGAATGGGGACTTTGAGGAGATGGTACCCAAGAAAGAGAAGCCGAAGGCCACAATCACCCCGGCGGCCGCCACCACAGAGGAGCGCACACACGAGTCCTACGAGTATCTAGTACCCATCATCAACAAAGCACCTGTGGTTCTCTTTATGAAGGTATGGAACGTATGGATGTGTGCGGAATGTGACTCGTGTTTGATGGGGTTGTATTGTTTGTGCTTATGAGTGTGTACAGAATACAGGATGAGGTTGAGAATGTTGTCGTTCGATTCTTCTAGCCCGCCATAGAATATCAAGGTGTGGGTGTTTAAGGTGTGTGAGCTGGTGTAATGGATAGCACATATCTAGTGCACTGTAGGTCTTATATGGCTAATTCAGTATCGACGTGGTCAAGACTCCGTGGATTGTCCTCTCTCTCCTTCCGCATCAGCATGAATAGCATCCGTGACCCTTCTTTCCTTACCTAGAAAGTCAGCTTATGTTAGTGCCCCACTTCTCTAATTCACAAGAGCGTAGGCGCTTTATATGGAAACACAGTGCGGCCATACGAATCTTATATTTGCGCTAAACAGTTATCTGATCCTTCTCTGTCTTCGCATTACAAACACAGGGTTCGCCAGATGTACCGGAGTGTGGCTTCTCGAGGCAAGTGATCTCTCTGCTAGAAAGTGAGAACATCATATACGAGACTGTCAACATCCTGGTCAATCCCGATGTGCGCGCTGATTTGAAGGTATATTTACGTGTGCATCTGCAAAGACACTCGAAGTAGCAATGCAGATAGCTTAAGTGTGTGTGTGCGGTGGTCGGCATCGCATTTTCTCTATATATATTTTACGTGCGTGTTGTGTTATTTTCTTATAAATATCGTTTAGTAAACCTCCTCATGTGGATGACTTGTATATTTGTTTCTTTGGCTGGATTATGCACGAGCTTCTACCACAGGGCGTGGGACTGGATGTATCATTCTAAATATTCGAGCTTTTCGCTTTCTTTCAAATTCAGATCTACTCGCAGTGGCCCACATTTCCACAACTGTACGTGGAAGGTGAGCTCGTAGGTGGTCTGGATATCCTGAAGGTACGTACTTTGCCTCACGATAAGCTCGCCGTGTTCTATTCGTGATCGTCAGCTTGTGCATGCCCAACAGTTTCTACCCGTCGCCTCTCTGTTCCTTCGCAATGGATTGGTACTAATTTTCTATGAGGCTACAATCTGCTAGTACTTTTTTTTTTTGAGGTTACAACCTGCCTAGTGCTAAAGTATATATACTAATGAGATGTATTGTTTATTGGTTTATTTCTATGGGATGCCACAGGAGATGCAAGAAAGTGGAGACTTTTTAGATTCCATCCCTGACACCTGCATAAGGAAGGAGTAGATCATCGTGCACCCACACGCTGTATAATTAATAACTGCGATTGGCCAGGAATTGGAACAGCTATTAAGGAACGCGTTCGCAGGACGACTCTGTTACTTAGATGCCGTTGACTTTTTGCAAACATTCCGTTGTCGAAAATAAAACAATCTCCAACCTGATTCTTTCTCGGTTATCGCCTCTGCGCATAAGGCCAAGTATCGGATGCAACATATCCATCATCTGGTGCAAACCATTGTGCATCCGTTTCATAACCGATTTAATTATTTGCGACATCTATTCGTTCGTGTGGGATATATGCGTGCACAGTTGCCTCGTGTGTTCCCGTTTCGCCATAATTATTCGTATGCATATGTACAACTACGCAAGTTCAGGAAGGTGCTCCGTGATATGGCAACACACGTTCTCATGCTGGGAATTATTCTATCGAATACAATTCTTGACCAGTGGATCTATGATGTCTCCGCGGTAAAGGAGCGATTAAATTAACTGGATGGCACTATATCTGTTGTTTTCTGGCCGAAGTTTGCCAACTACTTTATTTTTTTCCAACCATAATTAGCTATGCACTGAGATGTTGGCTTTTGGAATCGACCCTTCGCCAGGCACACACTGTACAAGCAGACCAATTTTTACTCGGTCCCGTGCATATCCAATGGCTCTGCTACACTCAAGGTAGTATATAACTAGACTAAATTAATATATTCTATAACTATTCTTGCATATCTGTGGTATTGCCACTTGTACTCCTCTTTGCGCCGAACCCCTTGGCAGCCTTGGTCCATGCATTAGTGGCCGCGTCCGCTGCCGAACTTCCTCGTTTCGGTTTGCCCTTAAGCACTTTCGTCAAAACTTCTTTCTTCTTCTGTACGCCGGATCGTCCTCCTTTTACAGCCACATCTGAGGATTCGCACAGTAATTATATATCTGAGCATCGATGCTTACGATGACTTTCTCCGTGCGTATGAGTTAAATCTCCGAATGATTGCCAGGATGAACACGGCTTTATAAAATGAAAGTGGTGCAGTTGTTTAAACGTGCGCTGCTGTAATGTTGCTAGTCTGTTCCTCTTTTTGATCAACTTGTACTCTATGGGTAGGCGGAGGTAATACATTGCAGAAATTCGTCTACGCCATTGGATTGACCTAATAATTCTTAATCGATAGCACAGACAAACAGGTCTTCAAGCATAAAGTCCCAAGCCACGTTCACTCGCTATATATATATTCACTAAGTAAATGGTAACTGGATGTGGTACGTAATGCCTCCACACAATATACACCTCAGGTCAGACACATATCACATGTGTGTGAAACACAATTAAAATTCGTTTCACACAAGTTGTCCGATAGCAGAACCAATCGCAAGTTGATGCAGACACCATTCGATAGTGAAACTAGTGTCAAGTGACAGGCAATCTGTTTCATAAGCCGTTCATTCTCACGCAATCTACGTCAGTGCTACTGCGTGATATCATAACCCCACTTCGAAACGGCGCATACTAAACACACATTTTTGCACTGGTTGGGTCGATCACACCACTGTCAGTAGTACTAAACAACAATAAGTCACGGGTTTGTTCACCTACCTTTCTTGAAGATAGTAGGCTTGGTCACTTCAACATTCTTCCCCGCGAACTTCGACCGTTTGGCCGTTTTCGACGATCTGCCCATAGTGTGTAGTGAATAGACTGTCCTGTTTTCGTGGGCAATGTTTGTACGTGTGCGTTCATCAAAGGCAATGAAATGCCTTTTTTGTAAAATATATTTCGTACGCTTCAAATCGTCATGTGTGATGAAAATTTACTATCGTAATTTCGGCTTTTTTCATGGGATATTTGCAAACACGCATACGCTAAATACATTTATACATACACGAATGCAACCTTTAAGCAGACAGTGTCGCGTGCAGACAGTGTCGCGTGCAGACAGTTAACAGGCCTACATCGTCAAGAAAAAAATTATTATGTACGTGAAACTAAATCAACTGAGAAGCTGGGGTACTACTCCCATCGCAAAGAAGGTGTTTTTATACAGAGGTGATTCGACCAAGTTGCAAGTAGATGCAATCGTGAACGCAGCCAACGAGCGCATGCTTGGCGGTGGTGGCATAGACGGAGCCATCCACCGCGCTGCAGGCCGAGATTTGTATGACGAGTGCGAGCGTGTTGAACAGGTATGGGTGTCTTCTGCACGTGACATACCTATTTTGTGGAGGTTTTGATGGTGTAACGAATACGTATTGACCCTGTAAACTTGTACCTGCTATATCGGTGGGGTTTTTTCCTTGTAAGCGAACTTGATATTGGCAATGTGAATTCGTATATGGCTGTATATCATATGAGACAATAGCAAGTAATATCTTTGCAATACGATACGAATACTATTTGCATATTGTACTATCTCAACGTTGGTGTCGTTCTACCAAAATCCCACGCGGCTTTGAAATTCACAGGCTGTTCTTAGGAGCATGGCTGCGAGCGCCAATCATGCATATTTGTATATTAAAGTGGCGACGACTTGTATCCCTTGGATGGCGTACATGTGTTCTATTTCTATTGATCATCATATTTAGCAACCTCCGAGTGTGTTAGTCTGGGTGAATCGACGCAAGGTTATCTCAGAGCTTGTGTTGGGTACTACAAGATGTATATGGGTTTTAATATTGTGAATAACATCGGCTTTGAGTACACACTAAACCCTGCCGTAATTATTGGTGAGATTACGTGTTGCTTCATGGAAATAGGCACTCATAGTTGCAATCTCGACCCTGACACCTAACATAAGCTTACTCTGGTACCTCGGGAACGCCCGGACGATACGTCTGTAAGCTACGCGAATATACGAGCAAGTGTTTGGTCAAATCAACAAACCTGCGAGCGGGCAACCCAAACCGATTAGACCGTTATTTTTCTATTTTATCACCTACAGTTGTCCGTCTTGACCTGTGTTTTGACAGATTTTGATATTGTGCTTACACCTTATGCTTTCCCCGCTCCTTTCAGGTTAGACCGAGAGTTCGATGTCCCACGGGTGAAGCTCGTCTAACCAAAGGCTACAATCTTCCAGCCAAACACATTATCCACACTGTAGGCCCTATCGGTGAGAAACCGGATAAGTTAGAGAGCTGCTATGCGTCTTGTCTGAATCTTGCGAAAACGAACAATATACGTTCTCTGGCATTTTGTTCGATATCTACGGGTGTATTTATGTACCCTATAGAAAAAGCGACCGAAGTAGCTCTGTCTACTACCAAACGATGGTTGGAAGAGGGCGATAACAATGATGCGATCGACGGCATTATCTTCACTGTATTTTCGGATAGAGATGCTGATGTGTATAGGCAACTGCTGACTACGCACTTTGGGCCTCAGCACCGAGAAGTAGTGAATGTGGACGCTGGGGATGACGAAAGGGGCAACTAAAACGACACATTTGCTTGTCAAAGCGTCGGCAGGGCATGGTTCACAACTTCCAAGCTCGACATGGTCTGATTGGCTTGTGATCGTAGATAGAGAAATGAGATCGAGTGCACGCCATCCTGATTCGGTTTAAATATACTCGATAACATGGGAGGTACAAGTCTACGACACAAATTATGATTGTGCGTACTAATAAGAGGAAGCAATGGAGTTGGGAGCGTAGTAAAAGAAGGGCTGATCGCGGCTACTACAAGCCTGGAGGATTTTATACTCTCCCTATTCAACGGCCTCCCAACGGTACAAATGGGAATTATCGCCTTGAGATGGTGTGCGCCACGTGCATGCCATCTTTCGGCCACAGATGCCTGTGACGCTTCCATTAAGATCGGAAAGTAGGACTTGACCTTCGGAACGCAATGAATAACTTTAAATGAGTCGTCAGGCAAAATAGGCCCAATACAACCAATTAAAAATATCAGTTGCGAAAGTTTGTTTCTGGATGACAATTTAGATTCGATGTTTGCTCGTCTCACTCAAGAAATGCTGATCCTATCTACCCTTGGCTCGAATCGATCCTTAACTGTCAGAAAGGATTATAGGATATTGCCAACACTAAGCAGCGCCTCACTTCAAAGGTTCAAGTGTTTGGCCGCAGCATCATTTGTTTTTGCTGTTGGTGTGCCAAATAGTAGTCTTTCATAACGTGACATGCATTCTGTATGATATAAATGTTTGAATGATGCAACTACAGTTGAGGTGTACTTGAGCAGACTACACTCAGAAGGTGGTTGTGTTGGCTTGAGTTTCTACCCGCACCAATTCAAATAGACATAGAACAACTATTGCTGTGTGAGCATACGCTTGCTATCCTATCGCAAGGATCGATTTGTGCTCGAGAGAGCGTCTTTGAGTAGAGGGGTGATGCAAAGTGTGCTACAAATGGCTGTATTTTCGTATCTCGGTTTGATTCGGCTTGAACAAAATCGGTAGGTTGTACTTGTTCCAGTAGGTTGTTGACGATCGGTCTCCCTTGATTGTCCCGATTGTGGCTCCCATCCGGACTTGAAAAGATTCGAAATTGTTAGATGTTGTGTCGTACTCTGAATAGTGCCACAGTAGTTCAATATGTGGCAAGTGCATACTTTTCCATCCTTCCTGCACCCTCTAGAAGATTAGCTGAGGCGAGCTTCTCGGGCCCTCACTCAGATATCAACTCGCACTGTATGAGAAAACGTATGAATGCGACAGCAGTATGAGGTTGCAATATGACTATGGCACACGCCAATACACTATACAGTGATATCACGTTTGCAACAGGACGAAGACCACAATAACACCTCGCCACATACTGCGCGGAATTTTTTGTGTGCTGATGAATCATGTACATATATTTGGCCTTTCTAGCGACTGTGATGGAGATGTCGCTTCTACAAGCACAGCTTTTCCTAGCACTACAGCAGCGTCGTTGTTCCGCCGACTCTTCGCAAATTGTTGTGCATTTTGGCCTCCCTATTGATTATGATGTAAATCAAGTCCAGTATTAAGTCCTATTTTTAAATTTCATCAGCTATTTCGTTTCAGATGCTAGCTTCTTCAGAAACATAAACGTTACAGATATCGATAATAGGAATATTGAACCTAAATAGATAACCACGAACTGGCTTGCAAACCTCATCCAAAGCATGGACGTCGGCACCGTTCTCTATCAGACACCCAATAACCCGAACATGCCCGTTGTGTGCAGCACAGTGTAGCGGTTGCCAGTTCTTCTTATCACGAGCTCCAACGTGCGATCCAAGGGCGATCAATGTTTCCACCACCTCTAGATTATCCAATAAACATGCCCAGTGGAGTGCAGTCCAGCCTTGCTATAGAATTGATTTTTTAAATTGAAACACGAATACGAATCTGGCAATTCTACATATGCAATGACGAGCCATAGTATCACACTAGTTTGAAATTGAAACTTCGAAACTCTATATTGGATTACTTGTGTACATGGATGTGCATGTACCGCTGTGATATAATAGTGGTCAACCCGCAAAAACAATCTACCATAAGCAAATAACTGTACCACAAAAAAATGCGTGAATAATCGCAGCCAATAGATGTCTACACAATTCTCAAGTAGGGGAAGAAAACATAAAAGCCCGAGTTGATTTACCTTATCTGGTATTTCAGTGTTGCTGCCATTCATCGTCAAAAACTTAACGCCTTCGGCATTGTCTCTACTAGACGTCCAGTGTATACCAGTACAATCGTTCTGCTTAATTATACCATCATTACACAACGCAATATTGAGTTCAACCTCGGAAACAGGTAGACTCGCCCATGCATTTGTAACACATGTGTAAGGCCCTTCTGTCCGTTTCTAACAGCATTTACTACTAGCCGCAACAGTCAACGAACAAAAAATCGTTTGCATATGCGCTCTTTTTAGCTTTGGCTTTATACGATCGCAATGCAAACATCCGCTTAACAAGCCTTTCGCACCAACTGTTTCAAATATATGTAGTTCATTCTATCACACGAGTAGATCTGTTCTCGGTCAGCTTAATTAATCCGCTATCGGACACCGTGCGAGAAATTTCAAGCGCATCAGGGATGTATATGTTATCCTTTAAATCGCAGAGATTACAATAGCAACCCAACACGATTTTTTATCTCTTGTCGTGTTGACTACACGCACAACATTCGAAGCCTTTTGATACTGCTACATATAATCAAAAATAGCTGCACGGAACCACACTTTATACCAAAACTCCAAAGACCCAACCATTCACGAATTCCATGGACCTGAGTAACACACAAAGAGCCATTCCACTCGCAGTCGCACGTGATCAAGAGTTGACCATGAACATTCTAATAAAGAATTGAAAAAAAAATCATTCGCGTTGTCACGTTAATTTGCTGCATACCTCGTCTTTCGTGTTTAAATCCGCTCCAGCCTCGCACAAAGTACCTAGATTCATCAAACATCCTATTTGAGCAGCATCGTGAAGAGCACTTCTATTTCTTTTGTCCTTAAGATTTACGTCGGCAAGATATTGTATATTGAAAGCTTTAAGCATGCATGCTTCGAGTTCCTAACTGCGAAGTGTAGCGCAGTCAAGCCTTCTTTATCCGTGACTGATACGTTGGCACCAAGCTTTCATGCATGCTTCGATTTCCTAACTGCGTAGTGTAGCGCGGTCAAGTCTTCTTTATCCGTGACTGATACATTTTAGGGTTTTACGCTGAAGCGATCATAAGCACGGTTTGATCTTTTTCATCCCGCGTGTCTATGTGAACGCCAGCAGCTAGATATTTACTAAGCTCAACGCCATTCACACACGTGTGGATAGTCTGGTGCGTATATCCCGAAAATATAGACATAATATGGCTATGGTGTATTCCGTTCAGCGACTTATATCTCTTGTTATGCTAGTACGTGGCTGTGGCAACTTAGATATTGCATTCAATTGTGCATGCTTTATGCACATAATCTCCTAATTAAAAAGAAGAACTGATATGTAATGGGAAAAGCACGGCCCTCTTGACTAGAGTCGCGAGCAGGAATCAGGTTTGCCGTAGCGGAAGTCGTAAATTTAGCAGAGACTCTACAATCCAGTATCCAGAGGGCCGTGGGTAATAAATTTATACAAAGTGAGATCTAGATTCTAGGTATATTGTCCGATCTATTTCGCAAATCTCAACTGGAGTTGCTGTTTAACCAATTTCCTCTTAAGCCCGCCAATAAAAATGTTTTCAATATATTTTGCCTCAGATTTGCAAGGGCGGATACATAATCACTTAATCAGACCGCCATAAATATAAATATAAATATTTACCTATTTTCTTGGGTACAAAATGAAAAAATCCTAGGCGTGTCTTATAACATGTAGGATTAGTGTACAACTACACAAACGTTGACAAATTTTAATTAGTTAAAGCACAATCAATAGTACTGGCGCACCTTCGGCTGATTTCGTGACGGGTCGTTGATTTTATTTTAGATAGACCTTTCCAGCAATATCCAGGTATTGGAGATAATCTTGGACGGAAGACTTGCCAAATAGCATCATCTCGTACAATATATTGTCGCCGAATTGTCCTGAAAGTCCATCACGTTCTCTTGTGTAGTCGTCTTTACAGCACTTTCCGAATGTAGGGGTGGTAAAAACGTGTCGACGATAAAATTATGTACTTCCATTCTGCACACGGTGGCCAACCACAGCGATCCCAATTTTAATCTCAAAGATATAGGGCCGACGATCATGCACGACTCGATCAATAATGCTTGTAGTGTTGAATACAATGAAGTTCAATCTTTTGTCTGTTTTTACCTTGGAGAAGGCCAATTGGTAGGGTCTCATCAGATTCCGCTGGTGTCTTGAGATGGTGGGATATGGCCGAGAAATCCAGTATTGGCAAGTAGTGCATATTGCCGTTGTATTGTAATACTTATGTAGCATGGACAGATGCAAACTTTGAATGCGGATAACTTCTTACCAGATGATATTCTTTAGCAAAATCGGCCATTTGGACTTTCTGTGATGCTTCCAAGCAATTACCTATGCACTGAACCACAAAGTCACGAGGCTCGTGGGTATCCACCGCGAATCATCGAAGAACCCGCTCTTTTGTAGGTGGCCTAGTTGTACAAAGACGGCACCCGTGTGTGGAATGTAATCCACCACAAAGAAATCGTCTCCTGCATGCATTTTCTATGTGTGCCTGATATTATTTTCGCCCACGGTGAGCAGACGTCCAAATATAGACCGGATCTTAGTATTGCGCGTTCCAGTATTAATCTCAGCCAACACCTTGTCAACATCCATCATAGTGAAGTCCTCTGTTACGTCTCGCGTTTAGACTAGGATCTGACTTGTAATACCATATTCAATCAGTTTGTATCACCCACCCAGAAGCTTCTTGCTACGCTCATCTATACATTGTGTATATGCTTGTTTGTTGTCGCACCCTGGACCAGGGGCCGTACAATGTGATGCCTAAGGACAAAAACCTGCGAGGCAAGCAGTGCGAGTAATAGACACAGAAGGGCGCATATCGTCTGAGAAGTTGTCTATTGTTTTGCTGATCACACTCGACGGACCACGTTTATATACTATTTTTAATATATATATATATATATATATATATATATATATATATAATTTCTATATGTATATATATATAATTTCTATATGTATATACCGTATACCCTCGGCCTCTTCTTGTGGAGTCAGGACTCAGGAGGCCTATGTCTGCCCCCCCCCCCCCTTGGTCTTGTTTGTTCAAAAATTAAAAAAGGCTACAGACCTGCTGTCACCTGTGGGGTGTGAGCCTGTGAGGCTGTGTGACTGTCTGACTGTGTCACCATATGACCAGACGGATATTTACATAAATTAGAAGATGAGACTTTTTTTCCTTCGTAGCCTCCAAATAGAACAAGAAAAGATGCACTATTAGGGTTGGCAACCCAAGAAATTGGCGCGCAATGGGTTTTATGAATAATGTAGAAGGCTATGGGATATTTATAATATAAACAGACAATAGCATCACCATTAGCACTTGATTGCTATACGATGCCCACGAGAGTATTGAACTGTATGCACATTGTAGGTATTTTCTATTCTTATTACAGTTACTGGAAGGTCTGAGATTGAGCCGAATAGATATCTTCTTCTTTTGCAAGTAGTAGTCAGTGGGATCGTCTTAATCCTGCATCACGTACGGAGTGGAATTAAAGTGTGTGTGTGACCTAAAATCATGGTGGCCGAGGTTGCGCCTGAGAATCGCATCCGTATCCTGGTTGCTACGGACAACCATGTTGGCTATAGACACGAAGACAAGGTTAGAGGAAATGATGCACTTACCACCTTCGAGGAGATTCTGCAGATAGCTGTGCGGAAGGAGGTATGTACGCTTGCTGCCATCTTGCGGCGCACGTATAAAATTTAGTGCTCTAGTAAAGTAGTTGTGGTAGAATGTGCACAATGAAATATCGTACAATTTTCATTGTTCGAGATAGTCTCGTGTTTGACGTACGTTTTCATAGCGTGTACAACCTTGATGTTTGGGGGACCTGAATTTCTCCCTGTGTATCGAATAAGAGCAGAAGGTCCAATCAAGACTAAGTGTGGCTATGATCGAATACTGCCAAATACTGCCAAATCTAAAATTTGTCAGTGGAAATAATAACCATGGCGCATAAAAATTTATCATATATATATATATATATATATATAAGGATATGTAGTCTGTCAGACTCGAAAACGCAGAATTTGGATGTCTACGTGGTTTGCTTATATTGTGACTTATATATTTATTGATTATTCAACATCTGTTCGTTTTGTACGGCATACGTTAACACACGGAATGTCTACAGAACGTTTCTGCAGATCTTTCAAGTGCACACAGACGCACCTACATACATTCGTAAGCGCCTACGCGCACACTGCTATAGATTGTATGTGATGTAAATGTCGTTTCATCCACCATAAATCATGCTATACATGGTCATATATGATTTGTCTATAAGTATCGTTATTCAATTGGACACCTTTCATGTATGATTATGCATTTGCAATGCATATAAACTTATGCTCTGTAGTTGTTTTATGAATACAATGTGTGCTGTACACAAAGCTGTTCCGACGAATAATAGCATACAAGAATAGAAAACGTGTGCACATGTATGTATGAATGTGCGTGTTTAGATCTATGAATGGTAGCTAAACATGATTGAGTTAGTGTTAGAATTGATTTTCTTATGTTTTATATGCGTATCTACTATTTAAAACTTTTGACTGATCAATATCACATAAAACGCACAAATTCACACTAGCACACATATGCGCTTGATAAAAGTTTCTCATGCGAATTCCGCTCATCGATATTGATCATCTGCCTGTAATCTCCGTGACAGGAAGTGGATATTTGTATTTGGTGAAACAAGGATTAGATATCTATATATTTCGTGAACATATATGTATGATATTTCGTAAACATGTATGTATGAACAAAATTAATGACAAGCTCGCATCGACTTGTAATCTCTCAATTCTGGATAAGAATACGAAGAGACCACAGCGGTGTCTGTATTTCCTCGTTGGCGGCATCCAATGTTAGAATTTATGATTAGTGTATGAACGTGCTCATGATGGAAATAGTACTTCACAATGCATTAGTTTCCAAGTATGTGTGTATATCTGTCACGTATTAGTGTTCTACACACAAATCTGAAGTAGCGCATAGGCAAGTACGAACAAAGGGTACAATTTTCAACATTACACAGTGATTCGTCTATGTATGTATATGTGGGGGTCTAATTTGGTGAACAAATATTTTGACAATTCCCATGCTATATGTGTCACCCAAGTAGTCGGTTCTATGTCTTCCACCCGAGTACTTTATCTTGACTTCGTAATCACTTTATTTCCTACTTCGCACAACGAAGCTTATACATTTCCCCAGATGTCACTCACATATGAAAGATACCTCGAATCACGTGACACCACTTAAATAATGTGTCGCTACGTTTATTTTTTCCACTTGCAGGTAGACCTGGTACTTCTTGGTGGCGATCTTTTCCACGACAACGACCCGCCACGTGCCGTTCAGTTCGCTGTGGCTAATCTGTTAAAACGATACTGCTTCGGTTCTAAGCCCATCCAGATTAAAACGCTGGCCACCGGGGAAGAGAGGTATTAAAAATTGAATTTATATGGTATTTTATCTCTCACGTCTTGGCGTTTTGGGCTGTTTCGAAACTTTAAACCTGCTACTAGCTATTACTTACATGTCTAATCCATGAATCCCGGTGCGCCTTCATGCCAGGTTATTATTGACAACTTAATTTTAACGAGTTTTGAAACTCATGCCCAATTCGGTTTTTTTATCAATGTGACTCTGACTATTTCAGCGATAGAAAACCTTTCAACTACATGGACCCGAACATCAACATATCGTTACCTGTATTTAGCATACACGGTAATCACGACGATCCTGTGGGGAAGGGGAACTTGGCAGCTTTAGATTTGTTGGAGGTGGCAGACACTATCAACTACTTTGGCAAACAAAAATCGTAAGTCCAGACAGAAGTTTGCAAACAAAAAACATGGATTTAACAGCGACTTATTGAAGTTTACTCAGGAAACGTAAGTCGCGTATATGGGCTCGTTGGTGTTATATTTCTGTGATGATGTATGTTCTCAATCCTGCTGGCTAACTTTGGGCGCTTTTCTTTCCAGTTTCGATGAGTTTTCTATATCGCCGATCTTGTTGCAAAAGGGCTGTACACGTATTGCATTGTACGGACTAGGAAATATCAAGGATGACAGGTTATACCGCACGTTTGAGGCCCGGAAGGTCAAATTTAATACAGAGGTGGAGGGTGGCGAAAGTACATTCAATCTGTTTGTCCTGCACCAGAACAGGTGTGAGTGCTGGCGTGTGTGCTAATTAAATAGTATCATGTGACGTCGTTGGATTTGGATTTATGCGTATAGGTTCTCATGTATTTGCGCCATAGAGAATTTGTTTTCGAAAGTATAGGAAAACATATGATAGTAAATCCACGGGGGTGCCAGGGGTAGATTATTTTTTTCTTTGCGTCACGAATTTATCGTTATCACTTTCTATGGTTAATTCGTGGATATGCACATCATTTTACGCGGTACAAATAGAGTCAACAACGGTAATCGACATTCATTAATTGGCTGATCATGCGTTTTTGTTGCAACCTGCGTATTGATCGTTCTTTTCTTCATCTTTCGTTGTTAATTGTAGATATACTGGTATTCTATTTATACAGAGTCCGTCACGGAGCGAAAAATTACCTCCCTGAAAATGTAATTCCAACGTTTATGGATCTTGCCATCTGGGGTCACGAACATGAGAGCTATACAGAAGCCATACTCGGTGGGCAAGACCAAAGCACGTACATCTATCAACCAGGGAGTTCCATAATCACGTCGCTGTGTGCTGCGGAGACAAAACCGAAGCATGTTGGCCTGCTGAGTGTGATGCGCCGGCCTAATGAGGAGGGCCCAGTGGTAGGTTTGTTTAAGATTTAGTGTGGGGTGTTGAGATTACGGATTACGTGTTGCGTACCCACACATCGCTTACAGAACTCACTGCTAGATTTGAGTTAGAAACGAGGGCAGTAAACTTCACAATGTTGATATTCGTGAGCTGTCTTTTCTGTTCGAAGTATGTGCTACAAATCCTGCTTTTGGTTACGTGAACAGAGCTAAACTATTTTTCTGTTCTGTATAATATCGTTATATCCATATAAAAAACCACTGTTAACTTAACTACGTGATCATGCCTGCCGGTGCAGTTTGATCTGGAACCCATTCCATTGATGACTGTGCGTCCGTTGGTGATTGGTGAACTCGACTTGGCACAATTTGAAAAGGATGAAGGGGAAAATGTGCTCGATATGAAGGATACCACGAGGGTAGAAAAGCTATTAACCAGCGAAGTGAAGAAGCTTATTGCAGAGAACACACAGAAAGTCACCGAAGAGGCTATGAATTTAGGCACCGAAGTGCACCTGGTGAAGACAATGCCTCTGATTCGATTAAAGGTATGTAGCTTTAATGTACTTTCGAGTTTTTCGCTTTATTCTCTATCCTCGAGTTCTCTGTCTTACACGTTCGCACAGAACCTCGTGTTTTTCTTTGTGGTCGGAGAGCTGCTGTTCCCGCAGTTTCTGTAGATTTTCTCGCCGTGTGCGTTACGTCTATTTGTCAGTGTGTACGGCTCTGCATGTATCGGTCGTATATGTATAGTGCTGAAGACACCGAATGATTTGCACGTTATACTGTTCGCGCTAGTCACAGATTGATGAGGCGATCTTTCTAAGTTTAGTGTTGTATACTTCTCGAATATGGCCTTTCTTAAAGATTTACACATGATATTACGAAACTACAAACAGGTGAAATACAATAATTATACCCCGCTGAATATCCCCCGCTTCGGCCAGAAGTTCGTTGACCAGGTGGCTAACCCACGTGACATCTTATCCTTCACGCGAGTAAAGAAGGACTCTAAATCTACAAAGAAGATGCAGGTGAGTATAATGAAGGTCTTAAATTTGTGTTTACTAATACGAGTGAACCGGACTCGATAATTGAAGTTCAATGGCAATGAAGGTACGACCCCGTTCGGGTGATTGAATATGTGGCAATATTTGACCGTTACAGAGGGCAGTCCGTACCTGCTTACATTCATCTCGCGCCGAGAATTATGATTTCTTTCTGAAATATTTGAGAACTTATGCATGTCCACGCGTCTACATCACAACATTTTCATAGACTTGCTCTTACGCACAACAACATACACTAGAGCGGCGAAATATGACCTCAAAAGGTGTTTTGTTCGCATGCTCTCAGTTTCTTTCATGCTTTCTTTTTGGGGGGGGGGGGAAGAGTGTGTGCGATGGTGTCGGAAATTCGCCTGATTCTAAAATAGTGCCTTTTAATTTTACTTAGATTGATGACGATGAAGATGACGATCCAGAAACGGCAGAAAGCGAAAGGGCGAAAAAAGAGGTAGAAGCTCGCGTTCAGATAGAAACACTTGTGTATATCCCTACACTTATGATAACAAATGAAACCGTTCTCGTCTTGATATCTAGTTCCGCCCACAGGAACAAACTGGCCCTTGACGAACTATTACATTGTGTATTGCATGTAAACTCGATTATATACAGATCACCGCATATTGTTTTCACGGCCATGTCGTGAAGAACACGTGCTCGTGTGTGGTATTGTCACCAGTGTTCATGTTTCGTCTAAACTATTTTATCTGTTTAATAGTTCTGGTTTTCGTGAACTGACTGTCTTTCTACGCTGCTCAGGTAATCGACCTATTCGTGGAATCTATGAAGAAAAACATTGGCTGGGAAGGTAATGAGACAAGCGAGAACGATCGTCGGGCTATCAGGCCAGCCATTATGAGCGAGGCTGTCCGGGAATACGTTGATAAACAGAGCAAGGTGAGTGCTGGTTTCTATGCTCGATGAAGTACGGGTAGCAGACAGACTCGCGTGATGTGCACTGTACATGTGTCAAACACTATCTGAAGTTTTTGATTAAGCTGAAAATGGTTAGCAGTAAAAAGTACGTGTTCGATACATGGTATCGCGTTAATTGGCTATGAAATTGTAGTTTGGCACCGAATTTATGTATTCAGTGCTATTGATTAGAGCAACCACCCGCCCTTGAGCTGCCAATTGAGTTGCAAACATCGAGCTGGGGAAACATCGACTTTAAAAGTAGATGAAGACTTAAGACAGGTTTTAGTGGGGTTCCTATTGTACATGCAATCTCGGATTTGTAAGCATGACTTTAACCACGCTCTTTGAGCACTATGGGATCTCATAATTTGGTCGAAGCATTGGACCTGTAGATTTGGTTGGTGTAAGTACCAAGCAACGTCTGAGCCTGATGTATTCCGTGTGCGCAACTATTCAACCTGTCAGTTCCCCACGCTCCAGTGATCAGCTGCGTGCCTCAATTGCATGTTCTTTACTACCCCGTTTGCAATGTATGTGTCTGATAGTTTTTTCTTACAACGCGCTTTTGTATTCTTCAGGACTCAATAAACAACACCGTGGAGTATTGTCGGGACCAGTATGCCAAATATCGACGAACCGTAAAACGAAATGAAAATGATGATGGTAATTATTGTCCCGTGATATATTCATTTCGGAGACCTTGGGCGTGTCTGTTGATGAATCTTCTATTTTATCCATGTGTGTACTCAGTAGTTGCTGAAGGAAAGATATATTTCACCATGTAACTGGATGTGTATTCATCACTGCTGTGTGGTCGAACGTCATACTGCTTCGTAGCTACAAACTTGCATTTCAAAATTGCTCTCACTGTCGCATGTACGACTGTTTGGTGATGGCGGGAGCGCTGTGTGATTTTGCGACGCAATGAGATAATTTTTATACTTCACGTATTGATGATCACATCTACATATGCTAGTTCTATTTGAATTTATTTAGTCCAGTCTATTCACTCGAATGGTCAATTTTTGCCTACCTCAGGCTCATACATAGCGTAAATATATGGTCAACATACGCTTAGTTTCACATTTTTGAGGGGGTGCAATTTCGCCGACAACTACTTACGACCACGAATGATCACCGGCAATATTCGTGACGAAATTTGCATCTCAACCTTAGAATGAATCGTATGTTCGGCACACACCGGAACTGCATTTTCGCGTCAGTTGTGTTTTTTGGACAGCGTAATTCATCATTCTAGCGTGCATGCCGCTGCCTGGTAGTACTTTGATAATTTTCCAGGCATTTACGTAGCAAGACCTGAACGTTATGTTCTCCAAAACTTTTATTGTAACATTGATGGTTGCGACTTGACCTGAAGCCTATCGCACCCTGTTACCACTCTTGCCAGCTATGAGTCGCAGCTTAGCACGGTGGCACACTCTGGCCCAATTCGCACTCCATACGCCACACGCTCCTATCGGCGGTACTCATCACAATTGCACATATCACCTAGACGATCATAGCGCAATTTTCTTCGTACACCAGACGTCACACACTATAAGCAATGATTCTCAATACATTATTACGCTCTCGCCTAAATTTATTATAAGCAGAAAACTTTGCACCCCGGACGTCAAACACTATCAGCAGTGATGATGAGCCGCCTGCACCGAAAGCTCCTAGAGGGAGAGGGCGAGGAGGAGGTATTCGGGCCCGAGGTGGGTATAGTTGTATGTTTCGCTATGTCATACCGTAGCGGTTGGGTTTGATTAGGAGTAGTTTGTTACTATCACGGTACTCATTGCATTTATTTGGCTAGATACGTAAGTAGACTTCTGTGTTGGATTGCTCGATTTGCACGCGAGCAATTTAAGGCGTACATTTTTAAGGTGAATATCCTTAGAAATTGCTAAGCGAGAATTGTAAGGGTCTTTTATTGTTCATGACTGTCGTTTTTTTATATTGGGAAATCGTTATAAACAACCCCCAACGAATCGGGCTGAACAATGATATGGTTAGCCATGAAGTGCAAAATTATGTCTGCTGATTATTTTCGAAGTGAAGGTACGATGGAATATTTTGACCACTAAGGTGCCTCTTCGTAGTATACGCTAGTACTGCGAGGTCGAGGGGTGGCCATTTCAACGCATTGAGTTTTGATTTGAACATTGGGCGATAGTGAACACAAAGTACAAATCTTTGCCCGCAGAGTTATAATGCTGACCCGTTCATCACTGACGAGTAAGAGCTTTCAGATTATAGCACGAGACTATTAATACACAATGTGTAGCATGAGATGAGAGAACATAGAAAATGTATAAAGTGTTATTATAAGAGGTCTATAGGTGGTTCCAGATATGTTGCAAATTTCCATTAAACAGATTCTGTGCAAGTCGGCCACGACAAAACGAAAATTTATAGTAGCTGTGTGAAGTCGTGCGTACAAGCTCTACGTTCCTTCGACAATTCTTACTATTTCGCTGGTTTCTAATTATATTGTGAACACACTCGTTGCTGACATACCAACTGCTCGTAGCGCGCGGAAGAGGTGCCGCTTCATCCAGTCGCGGACGTCCGGCAAAGAGCCAATCGACACTCGACAACTTAAGTGCTTGTATGTTCTGATTGCGATTATGTCATACACAGACACTGTCATGCGTGCTTGTTTGCCTACTTTTTTAGATGCAAACAGCTCTGCTATCTGAATCTCGTATGCAAGCTGCTCTCTATTAGTGACAGTTCATGGACCTCGACCAAGTAACTCGTAAATTGGGTTGCGTGCGAATTCTGTTTGCGGTGTTGTCTTCTTTTTCGCAGTGTGAGATATCAATTCCCAGATATTTGTAATGAAGTTCTAATGATATTAATACAGAATTGTTTGGCGGTTTTTATCTGTATCGTATCCAAAACCCAAAAATATTCCATTCACTATTATAGCTTCAGTATTATTTCTGTTATGTCACTCGAGCTTATTGAAATTCTAAACTCTCCACCCATGCCGTGTTCTGGTTATTTCTTTGCGAATATGTAAACCTTCAGCAAGTCGAAAGAGGGGCAGATCATTCAGTTTTTCGCCCGAAGCGCCCCCAGCTAAACCCAAGTAGGTTCGACACGAAACAATACTTATGTTAAATATACGCGAAAGTCCTGTATGTGTCTCCATTCCACCCGTGTTGCTATATCAGTCTATATTTCCACTATTCAAATTGACCACCGTTTATGGTGTGGATTATGCGATGAGTGAGCTCTGTTTGTGAGTAGCAATGAGTTTCCGCTCAAACCAATCGAACTTGATCGTGGTCTAATGGCGTTTTCAATAGGGTCATGGGATTGTTACACGTTCGACATATTTTTATCGTCCTGTTGTGGACACTCATACGTAGTAATTCGATTTTCATTTTTTTAAACGAAATCCCTGTAGCCCCAAACCCTAAAACACTATTGCAAACTACACTCGTAGATTTGAATCCGGTTATATTGGATGGAGCATTGGATCACTACGGCCTGTGCAAGTACGGCTGGCGTGGCTCTCAAACACACACTGCCTATGTATCACGTACCCGATCCCCCATCCCTAATTGCGCCTCAAATGTAAATAATGCAGACTATGGGCACGACCCTGCAATATTACACTCGGGCGAACACCAATACCCAAAAATTGACGCCAAGAAGCTCTTCTAACATAGTGGCCTGTATGCATTAAATAATGATCTCCATTGACAAGCTCAGCTGCTTTCATTCGTCAATGAATGTACACCCCAACACTCAATCTGACATAGCAATGCGAGTTTCATATATATTCTTAACCCTTACTCTCGAAAGTGATTCGCTGTTTACTCGCATACACAATCATACACATTGTTTGTCCTCGATTGAGTGCAATCTCCGGATCTAGTAGACAATACCTCTCACTTATACTTTTTTTTTGCTCTTTTCTCTCCTTGTTCTTTAGAGCACGTCGACGAACTAATGTGCCATCATACGCCCCCGAAAACCTGGATTCCGATGAAGGTGACGATAGTGGGGCGAACAGTGACTTCCGGATTGCTGATCATGAGGAAGTTCCCAGCATTTCCCGCAATACGCATAGTAAAGTCCGAAATGTCATATCGATAGATGGTATGTTGAGTTTCATCCATATGTGCTCGCATCAACCTACTGATTTGAACCTCTGCGTACTTTGGGCTCAGAAATTATCAACCATTGAGCGTATAGGCTAAGAGCGTAGTTACTTAGTTTCTCTATATTTTTGGTATGTATAGATGACGATGGAAGCGACGACAATGAAATTATTATGGCTCCGTCGAGAAGCAAGGCTGTACCAAGCAAACCAGCCAGAAGGCCAGCAGCGAGTTCTAGCTCTGCCAACGCATCAGGTGTCAAGAAGCGCGGAAAAGGTGAGATACATTTCGTTTGCCCCTGTATATGTAAGTAGATGCTATCTGTGCCTTCCTGTGTTATTTTCTTTTGATCTCGTGAAACACTGTGTGTTTTTATGTGCGCGACATACACTTTCTTTTTGTGACGTGATCAGTCTGTGGAACCAGTATGTATTGACATCACGTTTTTTTATCGGCGCCGGGTACGTTGTGTGGACTAATATATTTCCTTCTTGTATCAATCAGGTCGTACAATTTTCTAAATTGTCGAATTTTGGTGCAAAGGGCCGGTCAACGCATGTGCATATAACAGTCGATGAACGCTGGAAATGCCGCATCCGAGGCCTAATATAAACAACCGTGAATATTGAGATTTGAGTGACTAACATATTTGAGCGCTCATAACTGCAAAACTCCGTAAAGGACCACTACGCAAGGAAGCTACACTGTATGATAATACAGGGTACAATGGTCCGCCAAACCAATGTAATCAAGAAATTGGTTTTCACAGTGTTTGGAGCAGCATACAGCAGCACGCATCAGAAAATCCCAGCGCATTTCTTATGCATCGCAGGTGTTGGGTGACCGCTATGAAGTCTATGTACGTGCTTTTTCTATGCTAGAATAGCAAATAACCATACCGGACGGAAGAGAGCGATTTCGCACTTTTAGAGTTCGTACGTACACCTACGTCGAGGCACAGGCTGAGTTACACGCATATCAGGTTAGAGTCAGTCATATTCACATATCATCCCAGTCCGCACACACTGAGCATAATGAGTGATGTGAATTATGTGGAAATCTGTCTAATGCGAAGCGGTCGGCTAATCTAGTGCGCTGTGAGTTACAATATACATATATACGCAACGAAGCTGAGCTAGGGTTGTGAAACACGATAGTCGATAGTCTATTTTCAGCCGCAAGCATCCTTGTCGACATGGAATATCTACTTTCCCTTTCAGGGTTCGGAGATAGATATCGTCTTTGTCACTTGGAATACACATATCAGTAGCTTGGAATACATCCATCAGTACTAGAAACCAGGATATACGATACAAATTTGATTACACCACGAGGAAAGGCAAATCGAAAACGGATGCAATGTTCGCGTTGTATTAGCAATGCTTCTGAAACAAATAGCCAAAATACAGGGAATCAAAGTTTAGCTTCCCGCGTCAGCGAGACACAACTAAAGCAATAAAAGGCTAATATCTTAGAACGCAAGCGAGCATATGTTGCTACATGACCAATGAAATCTCGCGCGAAAAATTATATCTGTATGATATTAATGGTCCTTTTGGAGCGTGGATACCTAGAGGGCTTCTGAAATGGGTATTTTAAACTCCCTACCATGTAATCAGCACTGTGCATGCGAGGGCAATGGATATTTGTATGACAATTTGTTACCAATGACTGCGTTGTATACAGACTTTATTCATATCCATGCCTGAATTTCATCTTTGCACAGTAAGGTATGACTATGTCACCATAGAATACTACAAATCCTAGTAAACCACCGGATCCGACCCAAGAAGATGCCGTCACTTCCGAATACGTAACGCCTGCTCACTGAGCCAAGCACCCATACAAGGGATATCAGCGATACGTAGTTGCTCTTCAAATAGTATTCTTTTTCTACAAATACTAAGCAGGCTGAGCGCACTACAGCTTAGTGTAAATAACTGATGACAGCACTTCGAAAATAGATTATTGAGCGCCAGCAGTTTTGACACCCAACCCCTTCTTCTTGCTGGGTCGTTTGCTGTTTTGGAACATCTTCTGCTCAACGATAACACGGACTTTGTCGGCCATAAGATCCTGTACAGGCAAGCGAAAGATTGTATTAAACAAAATGGAAAAGCAACTTTTACACGCCCGAATTGCAACTGAACTACACCAACAACAAGATATACCCGGAAGGGTGCGTACGTGGCATTGATCTAAATTAACGACAGTGATTTTAAATGTTTGGTATTGATCTAAAATATACGTGCTGGTACGTGCTGGAAACATGTAATTTAAGGACGGCAAGTGGCATGCTGAATATAGTATACAAAAAAATCGTGGGCTCGGGCGTCTTACATTCATTTGGTTCTTCTGGTCGATTCTCTTCTCCAAAGTTGCAATCTGGATGGCTTGCTTCTTACATTTCTCCATCATCAATTCTAGCAGACGTTTCATGTTGGCGATACCATCACCTACGATTGTTGGCACGTAAAGTTATGTCAATATCAGCAAAGTTGCAACGAAAAGTATTCTACGTACTACATTTCCAACTGTACTTGCATCTGCTAAATATAAAAGCACACCTTGATCGCCAACACGTATATGGATAAAGTCTAACACAAACAAAAAGATGTCAGTAAAGTGAAATTCGCCTCGTGCACCCATACTGCAAAGAAATATCAATATATCGAAGACATATCAATATGTATAATTTAATATTTTAATATCGATACATGAATATCAATCAATATGTTTCTGACCACAAAGTATACTTACCAACTGCTGTCTGACCCTCGCCAAGGAACTCTTCGACGGCCTTGTTAATTTGGTTGAGTCTATCCTTCTCTTGAGCTTTCAGCTTGTCAAAGCCTTCCGCTACCGCTTCAATCTCCGCTGAATATGCTTTCAACAGCGACCCAAGCATGTCATGGTTCTCCTTGAGCGCTCGGTATTCCTCATCTTCACCATCTTCAGGTGTAGGCTTTGCGGTAACAGTAGTATCGGCACCCACTTCTGACGAAACATCATCGCCCTCAGCGCTGTCTGCGGACTTGGTTGCATTGTTGTTAGGCTTGGTACCAACCTGGGCCTTGAACTCGTCGGACAAGTTGCTGGCGTGTTGTCTGATAGCCGCGTTGCAACTATCAACGTGGTCTTGAACTAACCGTGACTTATCACCACTGGCTGCCTGTGTCCTCAATAGCTTCTCGGTCATGCTCGAGATATCTGATCCCTTGCCCTCAATTTGTGCTGTAAACCCGTCAAATTCAAGATATGTCAATACATGCCTAGTAAAATTCACATCGCTACGCTTTTGAAATATGAGCTTTATAACCGTAAATCCGGGTTCACTAGTGTTTGCACTTCCATCTAAGGCTGTATCACATACCTGTTAAGTCCTCTGATTCGATAGCCAATAGTCGAAGTTCTTCCTCAAGAACTTGAATGCGCGCAATCTGTTCATGAATGACGCTCGCCTTCTCCGCCTCTAGCTTTGCAAAGTTGAAGCGCGAAGATTCAATTTCTTCTCCGGCTGTCTGAGCCTTTCCAGTCTAAATAGAAAATTTATGAATACATTATCAGCAATGCACTGGAGTGAAACTATCATTGCACACATACTTTTCAGTCATATTATACTCACCTCAAATGCGGTTTTTGACAACTCGACAACAGAAACCGCCTATCTTCAGCAATATTTTGTCGTCCTGATCATATTTCCATATTTGAATAAATGCCCTCTTCTTTGAAGTCAAAAACTAAGAATAAAAGTAGAAATGAAATTACCTTCTCCTTTAGGATATCCGTCAAACGCTCAACCTCACCATTCTTTGTGTTCTTGATGTTCTTGTACTCTTGGTTTTTGATTATGCATTGCTGATCAATGTTCTCTGTCTTCGCCTCCAACTCTTTGATAAGCTCCTCCAATGCAGCCTTCGATCGCTCCAACTCGAGTACATGATCGCATAGATGCTTGCATCCTTCCCGACATTCACCCAGTTTTTTTTTTACCTCTTCAAGTTCTTCATAGATTGCGTCAATCTCATCCTCGGTGGGTAGACGGATTCCTATAGGTATTGGAATGTGTTGAAACTCAGCTGACTATTCTATTCAGCATGACTTCCCAAAATAAATATACCAACAATACATATATATATATTTATATATATATATACATATATATATCTATCTATATATATATGTGTGTGTGTGTGTGTGTGTGTGTGTGTGTGTGTGTGTGTGTGTGTGTGTGTGTGTATGTAGTAGTAGTAGTATAGTATAG